ACAATAACTTCTCCATACTGCGGGTTACTCCCATCCACGGATTCTTGAAAACAAATGAATCAAAACGAATAGCAATAATTTACAACATTATGTACTTAAGGATAAATTAATAGGCAGAATAAATTTTATCCTGCTATCTAGGTTATTTTTTGGTTATAAATAAACTTTATGATCCATTTCCACTGTAATGGAGTCATATTAAAATTTCAAAAAAAGTTTTAAGGTATGAAAGATATCGTAAATGTCTTAATTCTAGATTAATTTTGTATTTGTATATTTTAAAAGAAAATTATGTTTTTTATCGATTAACAAATTATCCCAATATGTGCATGTCCAAAATGTGGTCGTAGATATATTACATTCAAGATTCAAACACTATAATTTTCATTTGGCTTCCTTTTATAGTTACAATAATTTTAGTACCTAAATTTAACAGATTTATTCACGCATTTTTTAATTTTTACATCTTGGGTATTGTCATTAACGGCCAATAAACAGTTAAAAGAATTTGTGTTCACACCTTACACGCCGACTTTTCAATATCACAAATGATTGCAAAAAACAATACGTTCAAGAAATGTGCAGGTGTCTAAAAGATATACAGAAAAACAACACTGATATCATTTTAGTAAGAAATGCTTCAGAAAATGACATGGAAAAAAAGAAACTAATTTGTATTTAATCCGCCTTCGTACCTGAAATAAGCATTGACTTAATAACGTCTTAGATGCACTTGAAACTGATGAAACCTCCTCTAGTGCCTAGTGAATGTATGACATCCGATTACCTCGGATGTTATCTTGTGCCATCACTAATATCTAATATTAAACAATATGACACCAATAATTACAGAACCACCAAAACCACTTTCAACATTTATTAATATATATCCTCTAAGACAATAATGATATAGCTCTCCAGGTCAAGTTTACTAATACTTTACTTCAACCCACCAATAATAATTTAACAGCTTCTTACCAACTGCTAGACTGAATCTGGAACAACTGCTGAAACTTCAGAACAATTCCAATTCGAGTGTTTTACACTCGGACCTCAACTCTAATCCTTAAATCAGCTTTCTAATACTATAACACTTAGATTCCACCTCCTCTCGTTGCAACACCTCTCTGATCCTCCTTCACCTCTCTTCTCTACTCCTTCAGATGGAGTTTATATACTTCTTAATTTAACTGCTTCACCTCATTCCTAACTGCTTTGCATATTACATTCTTCATCACGTTTCATTTTTGGTTGGGCAAAGGTTGTTTAGCGAAAGCAATCAATCTCAATTGAAAGTCCCTAAGGTTAGTGAAGAGAAACCGCGAATAGCCCAATGTCACAAATGTTTTAGAAAAGTCAAGGATTCCATCGCCGTTCTTTTAAAAATTGCGACCTCATCCTGATAGACGAACTGATCCAGTCGACCGTATTTTAAAAGAAAGACACGGATTATTTTTCTATAGATTCTGAATTTGGAACAAGTTGACGTTATATATATATATATACCCCAATTTTAGTGGTGATTATTCATAATCAACTCTAAAATTGGGAAATATGATAAATTATTGAATATTAAACACAGTTGCCGGTTAGTTAATAAAATATCCAACTCGTAAAGGGGAATGTAGTCAAAGTACATAAATTTTTTAAAATATATGATGTCAGATGCACGTGATTTCAGTAGTATTTCTAATTTTGTGCTGCATTGGCATTTTTTAAAAAAAATTTGCATAATGGACGATATGCATGAGCGTTTTAATTCCAAGTTATTGAATGTTTTAGACATTAAGAAAGCGAACAGTGGTTCTCTGACGGAAGAAAGATATGACAACTTGTTAATAAAAATGAATAATATTAAAAACAAAAGTAGTGGGAAAAAGCCAGAAAATTATCAAAGACTAAAAATATACGACATAATGAAAGACAATATTGAAAAATTTATCATTCCCACAAGTAAAGATAGCTCTAATTCAAGATTATATGTGGACTTTGAAAAAGTTTTTACATCAATTCATGAAGCACATTTAATCATATTCGTATATTTTATTACTAATCTGTCACTCAATTTTTTGATACTCTGTTACTTAATAAGCATATTTTATGAAAACTATTAGCGCATTTTAATATTTTATTAATAATTTATGCAATTTTGGAAGTATTTATTCCTAATTCCATTTAAAGTATTATATTAAATGAAATTCTATTAAGTTGTTATATTAAAATATGTATTTGTTGTAAGAAAATTGAAATTATTGAAATATGTATTTGATGTAAAAATTTGAAATTTCTTATTTAAAATATAATTTAATTTGAAATATAATCAAATATAATAATAGTAGAAAAATACATAATAATAGACTATAGAAGAATAAACACAGTCAACACTAATCAAGCAAGATGCAAAGTTTGATTCTTTATTTCTACAGTTAAATATGGATTAGTTGTTAATAACAACATGTAATGTTCACAAAATAAGTTTTCTAAAAATAAAATAAGAAGAGATTTGATAAAATAAATCCCCAGCTGTACCATTATTAATAATATGAATGTTATTAAAGTAACACAAATAAAACAGTAGAATATAATCATTGTTTTCATACTTTCTTTGAATTTTAAACTTAGATATTTTATAGATATACTTTAGAGATATTTTTAGAGATTTATAGATATGTTATAAGAACTTAATTCTATTTGAGAAGGAAAAAACGGAGAGTTTTTAGCAAGCAAACAAATAGAAACAGAATTTTGTCCAACTAGATAAAATAGCAGAATTCCCACTCCACCAAAATTTGTTAAAGCTAGAATTCAATTTTCATTAAAAAAATGTGAATAAAATCTATTTTATTTATGAGATGGAACTTCAAAACTACTTTTAGATTGGTTTAAATAAAAAGGTTATATCAAGAAATTTAGGTCAAAGAATATATTTAATTCAAAAGCAATATAATCTCAAACCAAGCTGATGTACAGACACTTAACTGGGGACTAAAGTAAATCTTACCATCCACTTCTTGAGTGAATGTCTCAATGGAAAATGTCTCAAACTTAAGGGCAAGAGCGAGGTTCCCTAAGGTATCATAAAATTTCCTGTCAACGTTCATTGTGTGTCCACAACCCTCCCCAATTATCCATCAAGATATTAAACCTTCAAAAAGAGAGAAAGGAAATTCGAAAAACACGTCTCAAACAAACTTGAAGTATTCCTGTGAAGGGGAAAACTCGTCTTTACCGCTATTGGCAAGTTCACAACCAAATGGAATAACACATTTAGAACGTGTATCTCAAACAGGGTGGGAAACCTTACATAACGCTTGCAGGGTTAATTAAACGATTTTCAATTCTTCAATCAAAAACTATTCCTTCTAAGATATCCACTCCAAATGGCCTCTTCGTCCCGTAAATGCAATACCAGATCAGAGACAGTACGAAATACATTTCCTTTCCCCCAAGACTCTGACAAAAATAATGTCAACGGCGTGCGTTTTCCCAGGTGGTCACCCATCCAAGTACTGACCGCGTCCGTTGACACTGAACTTCTGTGTTTTCAGCATATAATATGACCATTGGGGGAGAATAAGAGCTTCTTTACCTTTACGTTTTTTCATCATTATAACAACACTAAAAATTAGCTTCTTTTTTAAATCAAATTTCTTATTTAATTTATTTATTTATTTCATATGAGGTTGCGTAGCATTTAAAAATATATACAAATATTTCTTATTCTTTACATTACACAAAGTCCCATTAAATAAAAACTTCAAAAGGGTGATAAACACAATTTATTTGATATAGCCAAAAATATGATTAATGAAAATTAAAAATTAAAAACTTTATGGAATTTAAAAACTTTAAGGAATTGTTTTTAAAAATTAAAGCAAATTATCGAAAGAAAAAAAAATTAAAATAATTCCACAGATTTGAAAAAAAAAAGGATATTAAAGAACAATAATTCCGTTATTATACATAGGTTTGAAATTATAATGTTAACACAGAAAAGAAATTTAATTGTTGGAACATTTTTCGAATTCTATTGTTAGAACGTGATTGAAATTCCATTGTTAGACACGGGATTGGAATTCGAATGTTAAGCCCGATATTGAAAGCTTAAAATACAGCAATAAAAGGAATGAATAAAACAACAACGAACAAATATTTCAGCCTCTACGTTTCAATACGCTAATTAATCTTTACAACTTTTTAATTTTATGCAGGAAATAATAATAATAAAGGGATAGAATAATAATAATAATCAGAATAGTTTTGAAGAGAAATATTGTAACCTTTTTATGTATAATTTGTGTTAGATATTTAAATATAAATTAACAAAACATTATCGTCATAAACAAGTTACGAAAGGATCTCAAATATTTAAAATAAGAATATGATATGGAAAATTCAATATGGAATCTGATCAATATGATATAGAGTCTGGCCTTGAAAAATGTCAGAAAATGGTATCGAATAGTTAAAAATAACTCAAAAAAGAAGATGAGACGGAAAGAAAAAAATTTAATGTCAGATCATGTGATCCTCATAGAAAAAAGAAAAAATTCATATATATAAATCAATGTGAAGTACTATAAGAAATGTACACAAACATAACAAGAATTAGTGTAAGTGTATTAGTGTTTACATATATAATCTCTTTGAATTTCTCCATGACATGACATTTGCAAGTAGACTTACCATGTCTTATTTTCGCATTCCATTCTTTTACTTTCATAGATTTTTTTTCCTCATTTAAATGTCGCTGGAAGTGAAATATAAAAAAATAATTGTTCCTTCAATAAAAAAAAAAAATGGAAAAAAAAAAAAAAAAATCTGTATAATTTATAAAACGATTTTTTATTCATTAATCAATAACTATACCTTCAAAGCTATCCACTCCAAATGATCTCTTCTTCCCGTAAAAATAATATTCCATATCAGAGACAGTACAGAACACAGTTCATCACTCCCCCCCCCTCCCCCAAGGAAGGATTTATCAAAAATAATGCCAACGACAAGCGTGTTCCCAGGTGGACATCCTCCCAAGTACTGTCTGCACCGGAACATGCTTAACTTCTGTGATCGGACAAGTACAGCACTTTTCAACTTGGCATGGTCATTGCAGATGAAAAAAACGTCCTTTACCTTTACGCTCCTTGAGCAAGAGAACAACACGAAAAACTGGCAACTTATTTAAAATTAAATTTCCGGAGAAATTTATTTATTTCATGCGAGGTTTGTAACATTTAAATATTCCGTAGAACTCCAAGACATCCCGTTGGTGTATAAATTTAAACAGGGAGGCTCCTGCACAGGTGTCGTCTTCGTCACCTGACCTAGGTTCTTAAACTATCAGTTAACGCACCAGATTGGAAGTGTAAACTGTCCCCGAAATTCGATATAAAATCCCTGGAACAGTTTCGTTAAGAATTCAAAAATTTTAAAAATTATTAACGATAATCCTATCAAAATAAGTTCAATGGAATACATTACAATATGTAAATAACGTTGAACTGATAGAATTGAACATCGCTCGAGATCACTTAGAGATTATATTAGTCAGGTTGATGTTGATGTTCATTTCTGCGGGTGCCCAGGCTGTTTGCGACCTTCAAGCTCATACTTGTAACTGTGATGAAGAATGGCTGTGTGTGGAAGATTTATCATGTTGGGTAGATAGTCAATGAAAAGTCTATTGGAGTTGAAGCTTGAAATGTTGAAGAATTGCTTGGAAAATTGAAAGACAAGCCTTGAGTTTTTATATAATTTTCGTTGAATGGAAGTTTAGGTACTAAACAAGATGCTAGAAAAGGGGAAGAAATTAAACCAAAAACTATTGAAGAAAGTTGAAAAGTTAAATGGGCAGCGGTCGTAGCTTACGAGATATTTCTTTTTTATTAGTAGAAAATTTACTCTCTCCTCATAATTAGTATTAAAAATTTTCAGAACTAAAGATTTTTCCACAATTTGTTTGATTTCTGTCAAAATTAGGGATCAAGGCGAAAAAAAGTCAGCAACATGTGAGATTTCAGCATGTGAGGAATGCTGAAAAGTTGGAAAGGAGATGATAAACCAGATTGCGATTCGATGCCACGGAAGTGAGCTAACGAAGCGACAGCCGCATTGGTCAGAACGTTAAAGGGGCGGGACTACAGAGTCAGAGGAAGATGCTCTGACACCCGAATTTTCTGCTGTCCATGGGATTTTGAGTTTTTTTTAGAAAAAAAAGGCGGAAGTGAATTTAAATTAATATTAAATGCCATGCACGATGCCAGATTTTGAAGTTTAAAAGCCACCGAAACGTTTGTGGGTCCTTTTGTCGTGAAGTGAATGATGCATAAAAAGAGAGAATTATTCGGATCGCCGTGAACTTGTAGCAATTCCTGGTATGAGTTAAAGATTCTAAAAGATTATTATTTAGGAGAAAACATGGGATATTTTTTTTTTATTTAACGAATATTTAGCAATTAAAAATACTTTAATGGGCTTAGAAAGTTACCGAAAGCTTAAAGAGGGAGAACTTATTGTGTTGGATGTCTTACGGATTAAAAAATTTTGTAAGTTTGAAAAGCGTAGGATTCGTTCTAATGAATTGCTTTAATGTTCTTAGTCTTCTTAAGACTGGAAAATGTTGGTAATCATGGCCTCAGACGCCTTGACATTAATTTTTCAGTAAAAGAACCACAGTTGTAATCGAGAGATGTAATTATGCCATCAGTTTATAATTTTCCTATTACAGATGTCTTGGGACATGATGGCAGTATCATTGGCGTACATGGCCAAAAGAATGTTAGAAGCCTTTAGGATGTCATTTACGAACAGGGAGAATAATTTTGGAGATAAAATATTCCATTGAGATACCTTAATGAGGATTAGACTTGGGGATGAGACTGCGTTTTCGATTCGTACTCGAAAACTGCGATAGTCGAGTAACGAGTGTATAATTTTGATTAGTAGTTCCAAAAATCCCAGTTGCATCAGCTTGGATATCATGCTTTCATGCCAAATTTTATCGAACGCCTTTATAATATCAATAAAAAGCATACCAGTCGCTTGGATTTTGAAAAGCCATGCGGGACCAGTTCATTGACTCTGGGTTACTGTAGAGAACATTGTAACAAAACCATGCTGCTCTGGAATAATGATATTCCTGTTAAGTAGGTCTCCTTCAGGTGATTCAAAATAACGGATTCAGATGCTTTACTCAGTGAACTGAGTAGAGATATTGGGTGGTAATTTTGAAGATTTTCATCATTGGTATAAGGCTTTAAGATGGGAGGATTTTCGGCACGGCAGTCTTCCAAGCCTTCAGAAAATAGCAGTTCTCCATCAAAAGATTAAAAGGCAGTGGAAAGTAGAAAATAAATTTAATGGGTAAATCTTTAAAGATGCAATTAGAAATAAGATCCAATCCAGGGGCTTTTTAAATTTTTACGTTTGAAAAGAAATCTATAACTTCATTGGCTTGAACTGGGTCCAGGTCAAGATAGGTGAAGGAATTCAAAAAACGTTGAACTTTTCTATGTGTGTGTGAAGAAAACCTTGGGTTATCTGAATCGTGATTGTTTTCAAATTGCTTTTGAAGGCTGTCAACTATAACTTCCGCCTTTTCAATGGCAACCACAGCGATACTACCAAGGATACCCTTCAAGGGCGGAGTGTGATGAAAATGCTTTTTGATTATGGAGGTTGAGTGTTTGTATCAGAAAGATTCGCAATGTGTTTTCCCCATCTGTTTTGGGAAAGGTTTTTTTTATTTCTTTCGAAATTTCATTACTGAGAGCATGGAGTTCAATTTTAAGTGCCGGATCTCTAGTTTTTTGCCAAAATCTCCTCACACGATCTCTGTAACGAATTTTGGTTTGAAGCCGGAAAGGGGTTTTAAATTTTTGTTTTTTGAGGCTGTCACAAGCAACTCGGAGATAATATCTTCCAATTTTCCAACTGAACTTTCAGGATCTTCATTTATGGAAGACGTGGGGAGGGGCTTTAAGTTAAGAATGAATCGGAAGTCCTAATTGATGAAGAGTTACTCTGGAATTTTGATATTAGCAAAGTTAGCGTTCAGAGTAAGAATGACTTGTAAATTATCTGAGCTGAGATCATTTATGACTCTTATATCCAATTTAAAGGGAGGGATTTTGAAAACAAGATCATTAATAGAATCCCGAGCTCCCTGTCTAGAGAGGGGATTGATATGTGTATGAGTGTATGGTGCAGTAACTCTCACATTTGATTGGTTTGTTTTATTAACGTGGCACTACAAGCAACACGGGCTTTTGGCGATGGACCTTGTAATTTTGACCCTCGGTCAAGTGACGACTCTCACATTTTAAATACTGCTTATAATATTTTTGAGTTTAGAACCAAAAGAATTTGAGCTTGAGCTGTTCCAGGTTTTGTGTTTAGAATTCATGTCTCCAGCAAATATAATATTTTGTCCAGATTTTAGGATTTTAAAAAGCTTCGGAAACTAACATTTATTTAGATGAATGTTACGAGCATAAGCAGCGTAACTACTCGTAACGGGGGAGAGTTACTACTTTTGGCTTCTGTTGCAGTAGCATCCATATATTGTAACCTCGTAATGAGAACTCTCCTTCATATGTACACAATTTATATTACAATAGATAGCGATGCCTCCGTCAATACATGTTGATAAAGTTATTATATCGCCTTTTTGAAGACAACTGTTGGCGATCTGGGGGTCGGGCCCCGGTTGGAGCTTAGTTTCTTGAAACAAAAACAGATTCTATTCGCTGACGAAGTATCTGACTTTGTTTACTTTGGAACGCATTTGCATTCCAGAAACCAACGAAAATCGAGTGCGCGTCCCTATTAAATTTTAATGAGTGGGGGAGGGCGTGATAAGTGTGCCCATGGTGGTATACATATAGGAAGAGTTTAAGTTACCACCAGAGTACAGAATATTAGAGTAAGAGAAAAATGAAAATTTCTGTTTGGAAAGCGAGCATGAGAGCTCACACTGTGATTGGTTTGCATTACCAATGTGGTAACCGGATGTGAAAGAATAGCCTCACTGTAACTCATGCATGTCGCATAAAGCGATTGAAATGAGTACCCAGTGTCTAGGTGTGTAGCCGAGCACCTGTTCCTAGGGATTTATATCAGGGTACTTCAGAGGTTTGCCTGCCTTAGGTAGGTACGGGAATCATGTGACTCCAAGGCCCCCTAGTGATCTTTTTCCTTTCCCATGGGGTTTATTTCTTTGATAAACAGGGACGTTGTTCTCCAGGATATCTTAACGATACTTCTCTATTTTCAACAATCCTTGTCTTGTCATCCAATTTGTGTCTTTTTTTCAACTTTTTAAATGTCTAGATCACAGATTTATCTTATTTGGTGCAACATGACCACATTTGGCTCTTGCGTCGTTAAACGTCACTATTACTCACTTATTGATTGGTTTGCAGGTTTCCTCCTAATCTAAGAGACTCCTGACAGCTATTTCAAACAGATTTGCAGTGGGAATAAATTTCGGTTATGTGATTAAAAATTAAAAAAAAAAAATATATATATAGAAGAATACTTCTTAGATTTTTAATTTCAGGATCTGTATATTATATTTTCTGATAGGATTTATTATTAATGATTACAAGGATTTCTAAGAACTTAGCAGCTCTTTTTTGTATATAACTAATAAGAAAATATCAAATTAAAAAAATTTATTTCTGAAAAAGATAATATGATTGCTTCTGGATTCACAGTTTGCAAAAATGTTAAGGAATTATCGAAATAGACGGTTACTCAATCCTTCGTTCTTACAAAATTTAACAGTTTTTAAGACTCTATGCATGATGATATCCACCTTAAAAGATTTTGAAAGTTAAAAATAATGACACGTACTGACATACATTTTGAATAAATGCAATTCACCATACTCATTGCCCACATAGAACGCGTCATAAATAAATCAATTTAAGAATATTTTTATGAGTCATTGATTACCTAAGAATTTGTTAAATAATATATATCACCGCTTGGAAATTTTTTGAATACTAAAATTTTATTAATAGTATTGTCATACTTTAGTCTAAGTCTCTTAAATACAAATTTCACATTTATTGTTGTGTCGCATTCATATCACATTCATGCCGGA